CAGAAATAGCTTGAAATGAACTTTAGTTTTCACATTGTAATCACTGTATAACCAAGGAAGTATCCATTTAGATGAATTATCTATCATAATTTATTGTATCAACACTACACCCATTGATTTTGGTATATGGTGAAAGGTATGGGTCTAGTTTCATTGTCCTACATGAGTATCCAGTTTTCCCTTAGACTAAGACTCTGTCTGTAGGTAGTTGGGCATTAACAAAGATATTTATATAAGGAAATGTGTTGAAATCAGTGCTCTAGAAAAAAAATTCTTTGAATTGTATGTAGTAGAAGAAGAAAGAGGCAACTGGAAAGAGATGTGTGAATTACAAGTGTGAACTAAGGTGTTAAGCAAAACTGAGTAAGGTGCCATCAGGACTGCAACAGTCCAATAGAATTATAGGACTGTTGCCCCTGTTCTTTAATGTGGGATAATAATTACAGCAACATGCTGTAAGATGGATATGAAAAGGGATGCTACTAAAATCAGAAATAGCTTGAAATGAACTTTAGTTTTCACATTGTAATCACTGTATAACCAAGGAAGTTTCCATTTAGATGAATTATCTATCATAATTTATTGTATCAACACTACACCCATTTCATGAGCTCCCACCACAGGGTATGCAAGAGACACTATAGAAGAAATAGCCTCTCTATCCCTTTTCTTACCAGATACAACAAAATTACCATTTATCAACTTTTGGTGCTTTCTTAAAAAAAAGCATTTTAGAATGCCTGCCAAGGTGGCATGTGATGTCTGATAGCCAGACCTCTTGGTGCCTGATGACTCTAAAAGGCTCTCAGGCAAGAGCAGAACCATCCTAGAGCACAGAGCCAAGAGGAAATGTCCTCTGTGCCCAAGTCTGCATCTTGTAATAGTCATATACTAAACTAATTACATGATGAAATGTTTTTCTTAAGTTCTTTGAGTCAATCCTTCAAGGGATTTTTAGAGATGTCATTTTTTAGAGTCCAAGTTCCCTTTGAATACTTTGATGATAACTCCTGCATTGTGTCACATGAATGTTAATGGACAACCTCAAAAATTTAGATTCATAGACTGTGTTAAGTAATAATTTCACTAAGTTCAAATATGAAAGATCTAAGTTTCCATTCTAACTGATGTGAGCCATTACAAATGAAAACCATTAAGTCATTACTATCATATTGTTATGTTTTTATCTCTGCTGATTTTGAAGAATATTCAAGCTGACTTATGTTTTTAGGGACTTAATTTTCAACCTTAGTTTCCTAAGTTCGTGTCATCCTTTGGACTTTGGGAGAATTTCCAAATAAATGTTAGTAAAGATTTATGAAATCCTTGGAGGAAGAGTTCTGTTAACCATAAAATCAATAGTCAAATTACCAGGATTAAAAAATACATTTTCATTTAAAAAACATGTGCCAATGGAAGAATTACTTCAAGGTATATCTCAGAATAGAAACTTGAGTATATGTAAACATAGTGGACTTCCATAGACTCTTGCAGACACTCTTTAAATGTTTGTTGATGAAATGAATGAAATCAACAAGAAAGCACTAAGAGAGCTATAATGCAAATTTATTATAACCATGCAACCTTAAAGCCACATCCCAAGGACAACCCACTTAAGGACGCAGGTGTTACACCTCATTCTCAAGCCCAGGACTGTGCATCAAGAGGAGCCCTTTAGGAGTGAGCTGGACCCTAGTAAGGAGAGGATAGCATGGAGAGCCACCTTCTTTGGGAAACAGCTAAGTGCCTGGAACATAATAGATAATGATAAATGTTTGCTAAGTTGAATTGTTAAATCCAAGGTCTGTGTTGGAAACATGACTTTTTTTTTTCAAGATCTGTGATAGGAAATTCCCTTATAGGTGAAATCACCTTATAACAAACTGCTTCTGGCATTTAAGAACTCAAACTTGTGGAGTCAGTATAAGTTCTTCTACATAACTCCATCCTGTGGAAACTGGAGCTGTAGGAGGATTGTAGCAGAAGCTAGTCTCAGCTGCCTTTGATAATTCATGGAGCAGTTCTGCCGAAATCACAGCGTGCATACAGATACCCTTGGGAATCCTTTGAAAATGCAGGGTCTGACTCAGCAGGTCTGGATGGGCCCTAGGAGTCTACTTTTCTAATAAGCTTCCAGGTGATGTTGATGATACTGGTCCATGAATCATCAGACTTTGAGCAACAAGATCATAAGGGATGGGTTTCTAAGTAGTTAGGTTAGGGTAAGCAGACACGGTTTGATGGACAAGCACTCAGATGACTGGTTATATGAACATAGATGAATCGCTTGACTTTTTTGAATACAAATTTTCTCATTAGAAAAATGAGTATAATAACAGGACAATAAAACCTACCACATGGGATTGTTGTGAGAATTAAATTAATAATGCTATGTGAAAATTTACAAGAGCATATGGTCCATAACCATTGCTAACCAATGAACAGTGAGAAGAAAAGCATACAACTCTGTATTGGTAACTGGTAAAAATGGGGAGGTCTTTGGCTGTGTGCTTTCTATAGTTCAAGGGATTCTAGTCTTCATTCCACTTTTTTTTTCTTTTTTTGCCAATTAAAATGTCTAGCACCTAAAAAGAGATCAGTGTTTGTGGAATTGTATTACTAGCAAAGTTGATTACTGCCAAGTGTATGTTTTTGGCATTAAAGACATTGATATCAGGATAATGACCCAATGTCTCCCCATGCTACTAACAGAAAAGAGAACTTTCACACATGAAAACGGTAATAACTTTTGGGCCTTGGGTCTTCGTTAAACCAGAGTTTAATGGTTAGAAGACTCAAATGAAGAAGACAGAACCAGCCCCGATTTCTAATGAAAATATGATGATAAAATAGCTGGTTATTCTTTGCCAGCCAGTGGCCACAGTATTTTCTAATTTCATAAATTACATATGAAATTTTCTCTGTTAGATATAAAACCAAAGATTAACATTGGTGGTTTGGCCTGGCTTGTCCCTGTTAGGTGGCTCAGGAGCTCAGCCTGCAGTGGTGCAGCCACAGGGGCTCAGTCATACACATCCTTGCAAACTGTCCCCAACGCCACCCGCATAATGCCACCAGAAATTGCTTTTCTGAGAGTCAAAGTCTCTTGTTAACAAACTTGCAGACTATTAAATAAATCTTTCAAAAAGTGCATAGCAGGAAATAGAAGGTAGAAAAATCAGTGGATAACCTGCAGTATCATTTACATCTTAACATCTCTTTCCACTGAGAAATCAGAGACAGGAAGAAATTGTTAGCACCTTGAGACAGTCTAATTTAATTCATTTTGCAATAAAATCCAGAGTGAATCAGCTATACTTTGCCAAAAGAAATGAGATTTTAAAGCCTAGTCAGAATATTTAAACAAAGTGTTATTAAAAGATGTTCTTTTATCTTCCTTTTTATCTATAGGTCCCAGGAGAAAAAAGAAGAAGCTATCACCTTACTGAAGGATTCCATTAAGTACGGTCCAGAGTTTGCAGACGCATATTCAAGCCTAGCTTCGTTATTGGCTGAGCAGGTCATTGTTTCCATTTAATTTCACACAGTTTTTAAAAATGTTACTATAGAGTATTAGTTAATGTTACACAGATTTTTGTACTAATGATTTAATTTGTAAGCTCATATTGGACCCCTGATCTCCCTGACAATTTTTTTGTTGACAGACATTTCAAGCCTAATTTCTCACTCTAATATCCTCTGTATAGTGAAGATGATCTTTAGATAAAGATGGTCCATTATCGGCCATTGATACATTCTCCATCACTTTGGAACAAAAATTTGTCATGAAGAGTACACAATATTTGCTGTTTTTACTACTATTTACTTGTTATATTTTTCTGGAGAAATGCTAATGAACTAAAATCTCTAAACCCAGTATGGAACCCATTACCAATAATCTTGAAGGTCCTGTGTCTTAATACCTGTTAGAAGATTATAGCGGGTTGTAGGATGGGCTCGTAATAGAACATTTCTCTTGGCATAAAACAGGTGTGTTTTGAATTTCCTCCTCCTTTCATTTGTGTCTAAATGATTTGATACCACTTTTCACAGTCCTGGATGCATGCCCCTCTGCTATAGAGAAACAGATCTAAGTTGTCTTCTGTAAATCAATGATATAGTTTAGTTGACACTCGTTAATGCCCTCAATAGATAGTAGATTCTGCTATCACACTATTGCCAGATGTCCTTAAAATCAGAGTCAACATCTTGCAAGATGCCCTGTAGCATTCAGTTGGCTTAAACATAATGAATGATTTGATACTGCATGTCAGTTACATGGAGAATAATTGAAAAATTTTTGGAGGTTTCACCCAGAAGCAAAATTAGGACATTCTATGAATATTTAAGTGACAGAAATGATAAACCTAGTTTTCTTGCTCTAATGTTCTCCATATACCATGGGTGGGCTTTAGTCAAAAAGCCCTGTCCGTGGTGGATGATTTTAATGCATATTTTAGTACAACGTTTCAGCTAAAGTGATCGTAGCCGTGTTCTATGACGTACACTGATAGTCCTCAGCTGCCTTTGGCTTGTGTTGAAGCAGACACAGTAGGGTTTTCTGAAGAAAGGATTGGCTCCGTCCATCAGTATCCCTTTGTTTCACCTCACCCTGGCTCCTTCACTTTCCAGAGGCCCTCACCCTGCCCCTTCCTGGCCAGTCATCTTGCAGTTTCTCAGACATGCCCAGCATGCTCCTCTCTTGTGTCTTTGCACTGACTGGTCCCTCTGCCGGCAGCACTTCTCTTGCAGACATCTTCAAGTTTCCTTCCTCCTATCATGCTGGTTTCTGCCCACACATTACTATAGCAGGAGGTCTTCTGTGATGTTCTCTTGTTAATTGCAACCTTCCACTGCCCATCATGTTCTCTGTCACCTTGTCCTTGTCCTTGCCTTATTTTTCCCTTGTCTGTCACCTTGTCCTTTGTCCTTGCCTTATTTTTCCCTGTAGCATCTATCACCATCTAGCATACACTTATTTGTTTATGATCCTTCTCCCACCACTGGAATATTTGACTCTATGAGAACAGCTGTCTGTCTTATTCATGCCTGTCACATTGTATGCCCTCAACACATTTTGTTGGGGGAATAAATGAATCAATATGAACTGACGAACATGCGGTCCCCCAACCCAGGTCATGTTCTAAAATTTACTCTACATTGTATGCCCTCAACACATTTTGTTGGGGGAATAAATGAATCAATATGAACTGACGAACGTGCGGTCCCCCAACCCAGGTCATGTTCTAAAATTTACTCCTATATTACAAGCAGAGCTGGACATGTGAACCACACTGTTTTGTAACTAAATTGTGCCTTAGCATTATGCCCTTGTCCTACACTGAGGGACAGTATAAGAAACAGCCCTGTGAATTATTCATTATAACCATAGGGTCAGAGGCCATCACCCATGACATCACCCAAAGACTTCTTTATGAGGACTCAAGGGGAAACTTCTCTCATGTTTCAGTATTAGAAAAGGCTAGGCTTCTCTTAAATTGTAAGATTTTTGTTGTATTTTTAATCCAATGCATGAAAAAATCTTGCAATTGCTATAAAGGTCAACTCTATTTCCCTATGCCCACAGTTCCCCACACCCCGCTCCCAACCAACAACCATCTGAACAGTACAGATGCTTTTCCAGGTGTGCTGCTTTCACTCCTGGGCTTATAATTTTCCTTAAGAATTTATTTTGTTCAATATTTTTGAAATTGCTCTTCCTGATGAAAACTATTCTTATGGTAAGTGACAATATCACTTACCTATGTCAGTGATGACACAGTGTGTTGTTTTCTGGGAGCTCTTCACAGTATGAATGGGATTTGTACCTATGCACAAGCTCCATCCTCCTGTAACACCATCTTTTCCTTCTCTCCTAAATGCTCCCCATGCTTCAAAGTCCAGTTCAACTTCCACCTCCTCCCCCAACATGCTTCCACCTCCCCATCTCATGGTGAGTTATCTTTCCAAAGAGCTCCATTCATGGGAACCCACATCAACACTAATCATGTATTTTTATTTCTTGAATTGATACCTTGCTCTAAAATTTAAGCCTTGTGTTGACTTTTAGCTTTCTAGGTTTATCTCATGGGAACCCACATCAACACTAATCATGTATTTTTATTTCTTGAATTGATACCTTGCTCTGAAATTTAAGCCTTGTGTTGACTTTTAGCTTTCTAGGTTTATCTTCCTCACTGTGACTACCAGTTTCTTTAAGAAAAGCAGTGTCTTCCTGGTAAACCTATTCCCTGTCTAGGGCTTAGCAAAGTTCACTGTGTAATGCAGCCATTCATGCAGCATGCCTTGCCTTAAGGTATTTTGGGATTCGGTTACCTGTGGTGTGATATTGACAGCATGTGTCAGTGAACTAGGAGACCTGGCTGCAGACCTCACTTCTAGTAACCAAGTGCACAGGCTTGGGTGAAGAGTCCCTTACCTCTCAAGGTAAATAGATTATAAGTTCTCTTCCAAAACAGTTTCCAATTCTGAATATTAATAAATATTCTAAATTATATATGTAATGTCTTTAACATTTTAAGAATATCTAAAACTATCTCTTTAACACAAACTAAGTGCTAATGAATATATTTAATAAATACCTTAAGGCTCCACTGTAATTAGTGCTATTGTTTTTATACAAATAAAGTATTAATATGTTAATATCTTGAAAAGTAATTTGCCTTAATAAATATCTCGAAGCTTGTATTTTTTTTAATTGATGAACTCTAAGTTTATGAAAAGTTACTATTTTAAAAATGATCAAGATGTTTGGTGACCTTGAAATTTATTTTAGTCCATTCTGCAGTATAATAGTCCACCTTATCCTCAGGAAATATATTCCAAGACCCCCCAGTGGATGCCTGAAACTATGGATTGTACTGAACTCTATAGACAGTAGGTTTTTCCCTATACATACATACCCACGATAAAGTTTAATTTATAAATTAGGCACAGTTTAAGACATTGACAACAATAACTAAGAACAGAATAATTAGAGCAATATACTTTTCACAATTTCATTGATAGAAACTTCATTCTTACTGCAGATATTAGCCACCTCAGCATTTGATTTTTTCCTTTTTCTTATTAATCAAGAACTTTCACCTTTTCTCTTAAAAGAAGCACTTTACAACTTCTCTTTGGCATCTTCTAATTGCCAGCATCACTACTCTTGTGCTTTGGGGCCATGATTAAGTAAGGGTCACTTGACACAAGTACTGCACAATCTGATAACCAAGAGTTGGCTACTAAGTGACTGGCAGGGAGTGTCGACAGTGTAGAGATGCTGGAAAAAGGGACGATTCATGTCTGGGGGTGTGGAGCAGGACAGTGCGAGATTTCATCACGCTACTCAGAATAGTGGGAATTTAAAACTTATGAATTATTTATTTCTGGAATTTTTCATTTAATATTTTCAGACCATGGTTGACCGCCGGTAACTGAAACTGCAGAAAACAAAACTGTGGATGGGGGAGGAGGAGAGAGACCACTGCACCTTTGCATTCATCGTTACTATTAACAAATTTTAGAGCAGGTGGAAATTTAAAAAGAACAACATATAGGCTTTTTTCCTCGTTATGTTTAAGAAGTGTCAGATGGCTTATTAAAAATTGATTACTTGATAAATTTAAGTTTTGTGAACCACGATGGCAAAATGATATAAAGTTATTGCATTTCACATAGCTGCAGTTGTGAACAATTTTTAAGGAAGATAAATGACGAAGGCCATGATCTCTTCTTACACAGACAGGTCACATCTTTTTGACTGTTTTCCTACTCTAGATGTGCGTGTAAACTGCTGAGAGGTCCAAGAATGTAACTGAAAGATTGAAAGTTTCTTTCTTCTGACCCTTTTGGCAATTGATTTGAACATGAAAGAGACTGAGCAGCTGGTGGGCATAACTCAGGATTCCTTTTCTTCTCTGACTTTTAAGACCTTATCTTCATGTTTTGAATTCTTTAGCAATAAGAGAATGCTTCAGATGCACAAGTAAGGCACAGAGAAACTGTTAGAGAAAAATCCACCTAACTTACCAAATGAACAAATGGTAGAAAATGAATTCATTTCTTGGTGGCACAACTTTAGTTAACAGCATCCCAGAATTTCAAACACCCAGAATATATGAAAGAATGTCTGTCACCCTTGGCCAATCTGTAACACACTTGTGAAGCCATCCCCTTGCTTAAGCAGGTCATTTTCCAGTGCCATCATCTGTCCACGTGCACAGCCCATGCTTATTGTGATTGTGGACCAGTCTAATGCTAAAACACTCTTTCCTACACTGAGCTGAAATCACCCATTTTGCAGCAACTTTTCAGAACCTGGATAAAAGGATTCATCTTTATCTCTATTTAATTTCAAGTTTTTTATTTCAGCTTGATATTCTGAAATTGCTAGCCTAGAAATTTCTGATTTTCTAGGACTTTTTAGTCTTTTTTTCCTGCCATTCACTGTATTGATTCCTCTTTCCAGCTATTTCAACTGACAGGTTAGATATGAATAGCTTCCACTTACTT